TCTCCAAACTTTGAGGCCCGGCAGCTCTCTGTTTACAAGCCTAGTAGAGACAAACTGTTTTCATTGGTTGTTTCAGAAATGTGGTGTGTTTGAGGAAATGGAAAAAATAGGTTTCATGGCGCAGTCACGCACTTCCTGGCCACAAAAAGTTCTGTAAATGTGCATATTAAAGTTTGAAGTCTGTGCTGTCCAATCCAGCTCACTGTTTTTTACAGAAGCCCTGTGAAAGCATCACAGCTTTGCCGATCTCAAAGTGTCAAAAGAAAAAAAAATTCCTGTATCCACATCGTGATCCAGATCATCACCAAAATTTAAAGGTGTGTTCCTTGGCCCAGCACCCACATGTGGTAAAAATGTCATGACAATCTGTCCACAAGTTTTTGAGTAATGTTGTCCACAGACAGAACGACCGACAGATAGACAGACAGACATACGCGACCAAAAACATTACCTCGCCCTTGGCGGAGGTAATAAAATTACACATTTTTTTCCCTAATGACCCAGAAACAACTCACACACAAAAAGATGGTAAACAACACCCCAAATGTAAAAAAATACATCTTGTACATTTTGTACTTTTCATAAAATAAATAAAATAAAAGCTTTACTTAAGCGACTCTTGTGTGGATTCTTCAGGGTCCGGGACAGCAGACCCATGGGCTGAGGTCGTTTAGGGTCCTAGGTTTGATTCCTAATCAGAGGAGAAGAAGGGGAGACCCCGACTTGTGAGCAGCATCCTCTTCCACGTATGAAAGAGGTGAGCTATTTTCACATGTAAAACATGTTTTAATGTACAAGAGAGTTTAAAATATAAATTTTATATTAGCCTGTTTTAATGGGATTTGTGTTTTTATACAAGCCTTATTGTTGGCAGTGTTTCAGTTTTTCTGTTTTCTTTCATTTTCCCTCAACAAAGACTTTTAAATTTTTATTTCATGAAATATTTACTGGGATTATCTGAAGGTTATAGTTTTTAATGTTCTATGGGTTGAACAGTGAAATAAAACAGAATTATTTACATGGTCCTTATCTGTGGAACATAACGAGGAGGTGGGTTGTTTCAATGTAAAACATGTTTCTATTCATCCATCCATCATCCATCATCCATCCATCCACACCTCACCAGGGAGGAGTCCAGGAGGCATCTTAACCAGATGAACCACCTCAACTGGCTCCTCTGGACGTGGAGGAGCAGCGGCTCTACTCTGAGTCCCTCCTGGATGACTGAGCTTCTCATCTCTAAGGGAGAGCCCAGACACCCAGAGGAAACTCATTTCAGCCACTTGTATCTGTGATCTCCTTCTTTCAGTCACTACCCAAAGCTCCTGACCATAGATGAGGGTAGGAACGTAGACCGACCGGTAAATCAGGTGCTTCACCACGACAGACCGGTACAACGCCCGCATCACTGCAGACGCAGCACCAATCCGCCTGTCGATCTCCCGCTCCATTCTTCATTCATTAACAAGACCCTGAGATACTTGAACTCCTCCACTTGGGGAAGGACCTCCTCCCCGACCCGGAGAAGGCACCCTACCCTTTTCCAGCTCCAGACCATGGTCTCAGATTTGGAGGCACTGATCCTCATCCCGGCTGCTTCACACTCAGCTGTGAACCGCTCCAGTGAGAGCTGGAGATCAGGATCTGATGAAGCCAACAGGACCACATCATCCACAAAAAGCAGAGATGTGATCCTGAGGTCACCAAAAGGATCCCCGTGTTTCTGTAATGATTAAATGTTTATTTTGTGCTGCTGTGGATCGTTTAGGTTTCAGTGATTGTTCTGATTTTCTGAGTTTCAGTTTTAAATCGATCTTAAGTTTCCTCTCATGCTGTGATGAAAGTGGTTTAGCTAACATTTATCTACACAGGAAGTGATAAGACAGGCAGGGTGGGGCAGGACAGAACCTTTGTGGACCTCAGTGGGTCATTGTGTTTGAGCCTCGCCTCGTTTTACAGCGTCGGGTGAGTCTCTGTGTTCTGAGCCAAGGTCATTGTCCCTGACTCAGCCGGTGCCCTCGATGTTTCTGTCGAACTTTATTACAGAGACAGAAAACACCTTCTATTACAGGGCTGGGACCCAGGAGCACAAATATATATCATTTATCTTTGACCAGATGAGTCAGTGCTGTAAAACTGTACTTTAAAGAGTTCTGCCACATGGACAGCACTGTTTAACTTTTACTTTCTCACTTTTTGTTGCTTCTGTTAAAGAAGCTTCTGGACAGAAACAACTTGTAAACCATTTATTTAAGTCAGAGGTGGGCAATCCTGGTCCTCGAGGGCCGCAGGCCTGCATGTTTTATTTTTTTCTCTGATCAAACACACCTGATTTGAACGAATGGGTGATTATCAGGCTTCTGCTGTACGGAGGACCAAAACTGACATAATTAAAAATAAAAGTGGAAATATATAAATTGACTAAGAAATAAAAAAATACACTTAAAGTGCACCAATATAATTCAAAAAGGAGAATTTTATTTAAAGTACATATATATATATTTTACGATACAGAAAATTCATGATTCGGTTCAATACTTTAGTCTCACGGTTCGATATTATTTTGATACAAAAAAGATATTTCCATACCCCTTTTAACTTTTAATTTATTTAAATTAATTATGAACATTTGTTTAACCTCAAAAGTACAGTTTTTAAATTAAATGTTGCTGAAACAACAAGTTTCTCTGTGGATCTGTGCTCGACTGTGCAGCCTAGGTGGAGTAGTCGAACACAGATCCACTGATCCTTCAACACAGAGCATCTTCAGAAGACAAGTTGATAAAATAAATTTTGAAAATCTGTATTGTTCCATACAAGTGTGTGTTGAACCTAAAGCACTGTTCGCGGGTAAATGTATTGTTGCAGCCCTAAAATATAGGATAAATAAATAAGGTCAATTAAATTATAAAACATGAGGAAAAGCTCTCCTTTTTAATTCAATTGGCACATTTTTAATTGAATTTATTTATTGGTCCATTTATAAATTTCTGCTTTTTTTCTAGTTATGTCAGTTTGGGTCCTCCATACTGTAAAACTTGGAAGAGGTAATTTAATATCTGAATCAGGTGTGTTGGAGCAGGGAAAAACATAAAACCTGCTGGGCTGCGGCCCTCGAGGACCAGGATTGCCCATCCCTGCTTTAAGTCATCAATAATTAGTCACAGATATGTGCTGCTGATTGTTTTTGAGCCAATTCTTGAAGCCGATGTTTCTTTTTCTTCCTCCATTTACAGGATAAAAATGACACGATAACAAAAGTTATACAAGTCTCAATTTAAACAAAAAATATTAATAAAACAAACAAAACCATTACCTTCAAACAAACAATTACATTTTATTAAAAGAGAGAGTTGTTACAATCTGTAGGGGATAAAAATGTTTGTGAAACCTAAAACTGAAACCAGTTTGAGGGAATGGAATATTTCAGTCCAGGGAATTAAATTATGGAATAATCTGGAGTATAGGCAAATATTCAGGTACATTTGTTGGAGAAATATATATGGGTATAATGTACAAACTGTTGCTCAAGAAGAATTAAACCTTAATTGTTTTTCTTTTATTTTTTTTTTACGCTTTTGTTTTTGCAAATTGAAGCTTATTTTTGATTGAATTTCTTTATTTGAGAAAAAGGGACAGAAATCATAAGATTTTTTCTTCTTCTGTTACCTTTCATTGAATTTATGATTTGTATTTTTATTGTATTGAATTTATGTTGTTTTGTTTTAAATTAATCAACTTTATAAAATTATTAACAATGGAACGCAAACAATGTAGAACATTTAAATATTTAACAACAAAAACAATCTTAAGTTATCTTGTTTTTACTGAATCGACGAAGACACAAGAAAAAAAACAGAAATATGGTCCGACATTATGTGTCTGATTGTTTTACACCGAAGAAAATCCTTCAGAAGAACTTCATCAGTAAAAATATTTAACCTTTTTGTTTAGAACCTGATTTCTGCAGCTCTCCTGTTTTAACAACTTCAGTAAGAACATTTATTCTGATTTTGAAAGGATTTCTAACCCACCATCAGCTGGTTGTTTACAGTGTTGCAGATCACAGGTTGTCCACAGGGGGCAGCAGCAGGTCCCCGAGTGTCAAAACACAAGACCAGAAACAACTCAACAAAACAGAGAAGAAACCAGGCAGGGACAGAAAGAAAGACATTAGGACACCAAACAAGAAGGCAACAAGTCCTTCAGGGGGACGTGAAAACTGGTCTGAAGAGGTCTCAGATCTGGATCAGGTAGCTGCAGTACCTGAGCTCCAATCCCATGTTCTGCTGACGTTGGACTTAACCTTGTTTGAAGCTAATCCTGGTCAGGCACATTATCTGCTTTAACACGCAGCCGCTGCAGAACCACGTTAACCCAGACCTGGGTTTACTCACAACAGGTTTGTTCAGACCACCAACATGGGACAAAGAGACTGAAGACCCTTTAAAGATGCTGTAACCAGTCAATGTTTGATTCAAAGAAATTCTCCTCT